GAAGGGCAACAGGGATAATCTAGGAAATTACAGGTTGATGAGCCTTACGTCAGTGGTAGGGAAATTATTGGAGAAGATTTTAAGGACAGGATTTACTCACATTTAGAAAAATGTGGACTTATTAGTCATAGGCGGCATGGCTTTGTGCAGGAGAGATTGTGTCTCGCAAACTTAATTGAATTTTTTGAGAAAGTTACACAGATAATTGGTGAGGACAGAGCGGTGGATGTCGACTATCTGGAATTTAGCTAGAGCTTTGACAAGGCCCCTCATGGCTGAAACAGAAGATGAAGTCACATGGGATCCGCAGTGACCTCGCAAGATGGATACAGAACTGGCTTAGTCATAAAGGAAAGAAAGTAGCGGTGGAAGGATATTTTTCAGACTGTAGATCTGTAACCAGTGGTGTTCCATGGGGATCAGTGCTGGGACCCCTCTTGTTTGTAATGTATATATATATGATTTGGTAGAGAATGTATGTGGTCAGATTAGTAAATTTTCAGATGACACAAAGATTAAGGGACCTGCAGATAGTGCAGAGGATTGCCAGAGGATACAGTAGGATGTAGATAGGCTGGAGAGTTGGGAGGAGAAATGGCAGATGGAATATAATCCACACAAATATGAGGTGATTGAATTTTGGAAGATCTCTAATGCGGGAGAGAAGTATACAGTAAATGGCAGAACCCTTAGAAGCATCAACGTACAGAAGGACGTAGGCGCACAGGTCCACAGCTCCTTGAAAGTGACAATACAAATGGATAAAGTGGTCAAGAAGGCATATGGCATGCTTACCTTCATCAGTCAAGGCATAGCTTATAAAAATTGGCAAGTCACGTTGCAGCTGTACAGAACTTCACTTAGACCATGTTTGGAACCACAGTAGCAGAAGGTTGTGGTGTCTTTGGAGAGGGTACAAAATGGTTTACCAGGATGTTGCCTAGTTTGGAGAGTATTAACTACGAAGAGAGACTGGACAAACTCTGTTTTCATTTGAACACTAGAGGCTGAGGGGGAGACCCGAGAGGTTTACAAAATTATGAGAGGCATAGAGAGTGAGTCTTTTTCCCAGGATAGAAATGTCAATTATTAGGGAACATAGGTTTAAGATAAAAGGGGGAAAATTTAAAGGAGATGCGAGAGCCTTTTAACACAAAGGGTGGTAAGTGCCTGAAATGTGTTGCCAGAGGAGATGGTAGAAGCAGGTACCATAACAATGTTTAAGAGGAATCTTGATGGATACACAAATAGGCAGGGAATAGGGGAAGACGGACCACATAGAGGCAAAAGATTTTTAGTTTAGAAAGGTGTTATGTCAGCGCAGGCTTGGTAAACTGAAGGGCTATGCCTATGCTGTACTTTTCTTTGTTGGCGCAATACCAGATATTTTGCTCACATTCAGCATCATAAATCACTTCCGTAAGCTAGCCAACACTTCAGTTGTCTGCACTGTTCTGATTTCTAAACAAAACTTAAGCCTGTGGTCAAGCAGGGAACCTTAATCTCTGTAATGATGTCCTGACTTGATCAGCAAAATAACCACTCCGATCAAGAAATGGCATAGGCTGCAAATGTCAGTCAGATTTATTGAAGAGTAATGACATAAATGAGCAAATTGAATGTAAGGTGTAGTATTATAGTTGATATATGCTGAACTGAATACTACTGCCTTTTCCCCATAACTTTTGATCCCCTTACTAATGAAGAATCAATCTGTCTGTTTATTAAATACACTCAATGATTTGGCATGCCTGCTTACTGTTGTAGTCTTGAGTATCATGTTGGTTTCAGATTATGTTGAATGGGAAGAAATCAACTGCCAATGTACTACTCCCATCCTTTTAAAATACATAAAAACAAACATCCAAGACATCTCGTTGCAGAGATAGTAGGAACTGCCGATGCTGGAGAATCTGAGACAACAAGGTATAGAGCTGGATGAACACAGCAGGCCAAGCAGCATCAGAGGAACAGGAAAGCTGATGTTTCGGGTCTAGACCCTTCTTCAGAAATG